TAGAAGGTTCTCAGCACAGGGACCTCAGGTCCAAAGGACAGATTTTGCTCCTTTCTCTTCTTCTTAGTGGTAGTGAGGTTTCCCTACTGGGAGGGCTCATTTTAACCCAAGTGGGATGGCAAACCTAACCAATCTCCTCATTAGGATCTCATATACCTTACTTGGATGGTCTCACCCTCACAATAGCTTACTGTAATTGCACAATTTGCACTATTAGCAAGCTACTCAATCTCACTGGTGGACCACAAGCACCTTATTTGTATGTTGTTAAGTGCTGTTGAGTTGCTTCTGACTCATAGTGACCCTGTATAGGTTTCCAAGGAGCAGCTGATGGGTTCAAACTGCTGACATTACAGTTAGCAGTCCAGTGCTTATCCTACAGTGCCACACCAGGTCTCTTTATTTGCATAGTCCTCCCCACCCCAATTATTTGGTGAGAAAAAACATATAAAGGCAGTCAGTGTACCTCTTAATTTAGCTATTTCAGTTGTTGCTTTGTGTATTGTGTGTGTGTATATGAGAGCTTTAAAAATTTGTGAAAATGGAATTTTTTCATGAACTTTTTGAAGCATAAAATATATACATAAATTGTTGTTGTTGTTAAGTACTGTCGAGTTGGTTCCAACCCATAGCGACCATGTATAGGATTTCCAAGGAGTGGCTGGTGGACTTGAATCACTGACCTTGTGATTCAAACTGACCTTGCAGTCCAGAGCATTACCCCGCAGTGCCATACCAGGACTCCACATTTATAAATATACCAAGTATATGTGTTTATGCATATGTATACATCATATTGTTAAGTGCCATTGAGTTGGTTCAGACTCATGGTGACCCTGTATGGGGTTTCCAAGAAGCAGCTGGTGAACTTGAACTGCTGACCTGACAGTTCATACCAGTTTTGCAGTCCAGCGCATTAACCCACAGCACCACATCAAGACTCCATTCATCATATACATATGTTGTTAAGTGCTGTCAAGTCAGTTCCAACTCATAGTGACCCTGTATGGGGTTTCCAAGAAGCAGCTGGTGAACTTGAACTGCTGACCTGACAGTTCATACCAGTTTTGCAGTCCAGTGTATTAACCCACAGCACCACATCAAGACTCCATTCATCATATACATATGTTAAGTGCTGTCGAGTCAGTTCCAACTCATAGTGATCCTGTATAGGGTTTCCAAGGAGTGGCTGTTGAGTTTGAACTGCCAACCTTATGGTTCAAACTGACCTTGCAGTCCAGCATATTACCCTGCAGTGCCACACTAGAACTCTATACATATGAAATGTATGTTGTTGTTAAGTGCCATCGAGTCGATTCTGACCCATAGTGACCCTGTATGGGGTTTCCAAGGAGCAGCTGGTGAGCTTGAACCACCGACCTTACAGTTCAAATGACTTTGCAGTCTGACGCATTAACCCACAGCGCCACACCAGGATGTATTTCTAAATTTATGTATATACATACATATAAGGTTATCCCAGTCTATTGGTACCATCAGATTACCAATTCAAGTGCAGTGTAAAAACCTTACCTCCCTTTATGCTTATTTACCATGTTGCTGCTGTTAAGTGCTGTTGAGTTGGTTATGACCCATAGCAACCCTGTGTAGGCTAGTGAGCTTGAATTGCTGATCTTATGGTTCAGATGGACTTTGCAGTCCAGTATACTAAGCCGCAGCACCAGGCCAGGATCCCCATATATACACATTTAGAACAATACTTTTGAAGTGCCGTTGAGTTGGTTCTGACCCATAGCAACCCTGTATAGGGTTTCCAAGGAGCGGCTAGTGAGCTTACATGCCAACCTTGCAGTTCAAACAGACCTTGTGTATTAACCCACCACGCCACACCAGGATTCCAGAACAATAATAGTGCTACAGTTTTTGCTTTATTCAAACATAATTTAGGAACCCGGAGAAGGAAAGTCTGCTGCATTTACCTTTATTTTTCCTTATTGTATTCTGTCTACCTTCTTAATGTTCTAAGATCCTTCTGTTACTGTTTCCTTTCTGTTTAGGGAACTTGCATGAGCTGCTAAGCACGTTTTTCTAGAGTAGATCTGCTAGAAGCAAATTCTTAGTTTTACTTCCTCAAAGAATGTTTTGTTTTGTTTTTTTTCCTTTCACTCACTGGATATAGCGTTGTGGATTGACAGTTCTTTCACCACACAAAATATCTTGTTCTACTTCCTGTGGCCTCCGTGGTTCCTGTTGAGAATCCTGCTATCATTTGAACTGTTTTTCTGCTAGGGTATCATTTTTCTCTAGCTACTTTCCATATTTTTTCTTTATAGTTAGCTTTTAAGAAATTTGAATATATGATATGTGTGTGATGTGGTCTCTGGGTTTAACCTGTTTGGGAAGTTTGTAGCCATTGTTCCCTAAAGTACTTTTCAGCTTCACCGTCATGCCTTTTTCATTGTGAGACACCAGAGGCACGAATGTTAGATGTTTTGCTATAGTCCCACAAGTATGTCAGTTTTGTTTTTAGCCTATTTTCTATCTTTATATCTTCCATTCAAGGACCTCTGATGGCACTGTGGGTTAGGCATTGGGCTGCTAAATACAAAATTGGTGACTCAAACCCACCAGTCACTCTGAGGGAGAAAGATGAGGCTGTTGCTCTTGTAAAGATTTCCAGCCTCAGAAACCCTGTTCAGAGTCTGTATGAGTCAGAATTGGCTGGAGGGCAATTGATTTATTTTCCTTTCCCTGATTATTTCCTGAATTATTTCCTGTGTTTAATTCCACAGCTGAGCTCATTCATTGAGTTTTAAATTTCAGTTACTGTGTTTTTCAGTTCAAATTTTCCGCTTGATCTTTGTACTTTTTGATTCTTTTTGAGACTTTTGTGTGTTTTCATTGATTTCAAGTGTTTGCTATTGCTTATTGAAACATTTTAATGATGTTTTTGTTGTTAGGAGCCATTGAGTAAGTTCTGACTCATAGCAATCCTGTATAGGGTTTCTAAGGAGTGACTGGTGGATTTGAGCCATTGAACTTGTGGTTAGTAATACAATGTTTATCCTGTAGCGTCTCACCAGCACTCCATTTTTATGATAAGTCCTTTAAGTGTTTCTCAGAAAATTTAAATGCTTTTGCCATCTTAGTGTTGGTATCTACTGATAGGTTGTTTTTGTTTTTGTTTCTCATTAAGTTTAAGGTCTTTCTTGTTCTTGTGTGAGTGGTTTTCAGTTGAGACTGAGTTTTATTTGAGCTTTCTGTTTTATATGGCTTTTCCTGACACTCCTTTGCAGGGGGTGGGGGTGACATCATTACTGCTAGAAAGAGATGAAAGTCCGTATTTCCCACTCAGCCTCCTTTGGCACCCAAGGGGGAAGATCTTTGTTGCTGCTGGGTGAAGATGGGGACTCAGGGGATGGGAGTTCTGGCTCCCCACTGGTTCTCCTCTTAGACAACCCACTGCTTTTCGCATGGTCTCCACTGACTCTGTGGGTGGATGTCCTTGTTGGTCTGCACTGTCGTGGAAGCCCTGGTACTCCACTAGGCCTCTTGACTCCTGCCCTGCAGGGAGGGCTGGGACACCTTTTTAACCCCATTTGGAGATAAAAGTCCAGGCTCCCACGTGGTGTCCAATGACTCCTCCTAGGGGCCTCATTGCTGCCCAGCAGGGATGAAAGTCCAGTTTCACTACTCAGCCGTCCCTGACCCCACTGGCAGGGGTGTGGGCACTTCAGCATTGCTGGGAAGGTTGTAACTCCAGGTTTCCTGCTTTTTGAGGGTGTGGATGGGAGTGGGCTGGCAGGTTTTCTTTGGTATTTGACTGGAGTAGAGCAGATACTGTCTAACAGTTTTCCATCTTTCTGAGTTGACCCTTTTAGCCAGAAAGAGTGGGTGTTTGTCGGGCCTTTTTGTTTTCTATGCCTGTTGGTATTTTGGTGTTGCTGGCTTCTCTAGCAGCACAGTGGGGTAATGAGGCATAAAGAACACCCAGGAACTCACTGCTATTAGTGGATCCTGAGATCTCTAACCAGTGTGCCTCTTTCTTTCCTTCTTTCAGTCTTATTTCATATAGAATGTCAGGGACTTGAGTTAGACTGAGGAGAAGGAGTAGGTTAAAACATGCGGATCCCATCTTCCTGGAAGTGAAGTCCTTGATAGTTTGTTTCCTGAGTTTGCTTTTTTAAAATGAGCTGAGGAGACTGTAGGGTTCTTGAACTGGATCCACCATTGATTCTGACTCACAGGTACTTCATGCCTGAGACTTCCAGAACCTAGTACCATATCCTGTTCATCCCTAGTACCTTAGGACATACCCCACGGCTCCCTGATACCCAGAGGACATTCTCTGGTACTCTGTGGCTATGTCTCACCCACTCCATAGGCAGGTGAGGCTATCAGGAGGGAACAGGATGTTTCTGTATGCGGGGTGCATATTTCTTTGTGTCAGTTTTGTAGCTTCCCACTTCCATCAGAGAGGTTTTGTTAGTCGTGCTTTCAAGTCACTTCCAACTCTTAATGACCCTGTAAAGGGTTTCTGAGGAACGAGCTTGCACCGCCAACAATGCAGTCCAGCGCATTAACCCACAGTACCACACCAAGGAGGAGGTAGCTGCAATTCAGTGGACAGACATGCTGAAATTTCAGGCTTAGCAAGTGGGATGGTCGAGTCTTGGGCACTTGGGAAGCCAGGCTCAGGGAGGAGTGGATCCCGGGCTCCCACTGAGGCCCCCTTCTACCAGCACAGCATGTGGAAGCTTCTAGATACATAGGTGACACCTCCACAGCCACAGGAACACCACCCCACAAAATGCACATTTAAGGTCACACAAAATTAGCAAAGGGGCTTGGGTAAAAAGTGGAGGCAATGAGACACAAAAGGGGAATGGGACTTTTGTAGAGATTTGGGGAGAGCAGGTGCACCAGCCCCTCAGGACTGTGTTGGTTGCCATCTTCCTGGTGCTGGAGGCTGAGCACTGTCGTGTATAGGGGCTGGCCTTGGTGTCTGTCCCGGGCTCCACCTTCCATCTCTCCCACAGTTCCTCGTCTACTCTGGCTACTTCCTGCTGCTGTCCATGGTCTACTTCTCAGGGGCCGTGCTGGTGCACCTGCAGGACTGCCGCCAGGGCCGCCACCCCCTGGAGCAAGAGATGAAGACCACACAGGTACTGGGTGTGCAAGACAGCGGCCTCAGCAGCCTGCAGCCCGCTGCCCCACCACTGCCCCCGGAGGAGACTGTGTGGGCCTTAGGGCCAGCCACCCACAAGCAGAGCTCTCTTCCCGAGGAGAGGGCCTGAGCTGCCCACCACACTGCTGACAGGAAATGCTGTATGTCAGGACCCCTGACACAAAAGGCCACGTGTGCACCAAGCCAGGCCTCAATGTTTCTGATGGGCTGTGTTCCTGGCCTGCTAGCATCAGTGAGCCGGGCTCTGAGTTGTCTAAATTCATGGTTCAGATTTTGGATCCAGGAGCCAAAAGGGGCAACTTCCCATGAAACCCTTGGCTTTCCCTGTGACTGCAGTGGGTGACCTACCACGATAGTCAAGGGAAGGCCCCCTTTCTCTACCCACTGTCAGCATGTAGTGCTGTCCATAGCATAAAGACTGCTGGGGCCCAAGACAACTGCCTGGCCATGGTCCCCCATACCCCAGTCTGCCCTTGTCTGGAGTGGAGGCTGGTGTTCACTGTGGAGCCTCTTGGCCTCACCCCATGGGGAAGTCCCGACTGTCTCCTAGAGCAGTGACAGGCCCCAGGTGCATTTGTCCCAGGGGACACCAGCCTCTCACAGGTTTCCTGGCCCACCAGGTAGATTGGGAGCTGCAGCTGAGGAACCAGACATAGGACCCCAGACTCCAGACCCTAGCTAAACTGTGACATTTCTAGTCATCCCAGGCGCTTGATCTTCAAACGATGCTGTTACTTTTCTTTTAAAAAAAAAACTGACAGTGGGTAAAATACGCTCCCTGTGTCTGGCTCTATGGAGGGTTTCTCTTCAATCTGGTGGGGGCAGGTGCATCCCTCGTGAGGGACGTGGCGTCTCACCTCAGGGACCCTCAGTCTGCTCCTTGGTGAAGTGGGTCCATAGGTCTTCCTCACTGAGGTCGGGGTAGGGAGGGGGGACTAGTGTGCCCGAGCCAGGGCCCTGCTGGGTAGTGTGGGGACAGGCTCACACTTACGATCTCACATGTGCTCATACACGCACATGTGCTTATGTGTCTACGCACACTCACACCCATGTGACCCACCACATGCACACTGCTCTGTCAGCTCTGGGTTGGCGCTAAAGGAGAAAATGGTCATGAACTTTTGTGCTGTCCCTTGAGATGTGACAGTCAAATTAAATCTACCACTTGAGTGAGACACAGGGTTCCAATTCCAACCTGACCTGAGGGGCTGAGGTCCATCAAAAGACCAGGAGCATCTCTGCCACCGGGAGCTGGGTATCCCTGCCCCAGCCCAGCCCAGCCCTGCCCCGCCTGACTGAGAGTGACCCTAGAGGACAGTGTAGAACCGGCCTATAGGGTTTCCAAGGCTGTTTGCGGAAAGACTTCTGTGGAGCAGCTGGTGGATTCGAACCACTCACCTTGCCATTATGTGTGTGTATGTGTGAGTGTACATATACATATATCATCTACAGTGTCCTGAGCACTGCCCCTCCTGTGCTACCTTGTCATCGGTGCTGCCACTGTGGGGACAGTCGGACACAGGCAGCTTGGATGTATCAGATCAAGGACTCCCTGGCCTGAAAAGGAACCTGGGTCTGTCCCCAGCAGCTCCCGGGTGTGCTGTGGTGAGTGGGCATCTGAGGACTCAGGCCAGCCTCACATGGATGAGCCCTCTGTGCCATAGCCCTTCCACCTCCTATCTCATTTTGGACCCGGGACTAGAGCAGGATGGTGTGTGGATGCGGGGCTTGCCCAAGGTCTTCATCCTGCCCCTACCTCAGGCTGCATTGCTCTGCCTGACATTGTACACGTAGATACCCCCCGGCCCCCTGCCAGGAAAGCCAGGACCTGCCACTCACCTCAGTGCCCACCCTGCAGCTCCCATACATACTGGCCATGTGGTTCAGTATGACCCCCAGACTTGGAAAAACTGCTCTTCTCTGTGGTCTGAACTCCCCAGCCAATCCTGCGACAGTGACTAATGTGGGCCTGGCTGGCGCTGCAGTGTAGCAATCCCAGGGGAGCAGGCACATCCCTGTGCACAGGTTGGGGGGTCAGACACCACCCAGAGCCCAGCTGAGTGCTTACCGCTGTACACAGACATGGAATTCTGGATCTGGTGGCCCTGAGTGTGTAACCTGCATAGTTGTTGGAGAAGCAGCCACACTGCTGGGTTGGCCTGTAACCTCTGGGAGAAAGGAGGGTCTCAGGTACTCACGTGTATGGACATTGCCCTCTTGTGCCAGGACTCATTCACATGACCACTCCTGTGACAGCGTGTGGTATAGACCAATGTGGCTGTGAGGGACTGATTCCTTTTATTCAGTACGTGGTTTCAAATGGCCCCCACAGCACACATAGCCTATAACCACTGTCTGAGCCCTGGAGCCCAAGGGCACGCATATAGAACAGCAGATAGCATTTCTGCCCACAAGCATGAGGAGCCAAGCTTGGGTCCACCCTCCGTGATGGATTCCTACTGCCCCTCTCTAGATAATCCTCTGCACAGCCCCACCCCTGCAGGCTCCCCCCACCCTATTACCCTATTGCCACCTATGTGTATCACAGGATGCGCAACAGAGGGCATGCTTGGATACAGGCAGGCAGTGGAACAGAGTGGGGTGCACTAGTTCCCTCTTCTCTGGACCTGACTATTCCTGCCCCAAGACTCAGCAGGGCAGGCCACAGCGGCATCCTGACCAGAAGCATCCCTAACCCTCTGTCTGCTGGGATTTGTGGGGGTCCTCAACCCAGGGAAGGTAAACCCAAGATCCCTGGTACTCTGACTCAGCATGAGATGTTCCTGGTCTGGGGCCAAGGCTGGGTCCTAGGACCCAGGAGTCTCTGTTAGGAACCAGTGATGGGGAAGAGAACTTTGGGTGTGAGGTTGGGCCTGGGAGATGCTGCCATGCTGATTCTCAGATTCTCGAAGCTTTCTGGGTGTGGCCCTATCAGCCAAGAAAAAGGCCCTGAGGCAGGGCTGGATCCAGGAACACCTCAGGCTGAGGGTGGCTGGAGGGAGGCAGGCCTCAGAGTCCTGGGTGGGCAGTAGACAGAGCTCAGGAACTGTTCTGGCCACACGGTTTGCTGTAGAAAGTGAGAAAGGCTGAGAAGATAGTTTTCTTGGCACCTGGGATGCCCTCAGCAACTAGGAGAGGAAGACCCTTTCTCCACTGTCGGAAGAGCCCTAGGGCAGGGGTGGAGCAGGGCCTTTCTGGAAACTGCAAAAAGGATGGGGCTTTGTGATCCAGTGGGGTGCGAGCTGGACAGTGGACAACTGAGGGCCCCTCTGGGCCCCTTGAGCCAAAGGTTTCCACAATCTGCACCGAGAAGTGAATCCCAGAGCCAGCTCCTTGTCCACATCAGGCTGTGTGCCATCCCTGGGTCTACAGGACCCAGGACGACACCATAATGCCCCCTGCAAGCTGCCTGCTGGAAACGAGAAAGTTGGCATGAGGCTTTGATTTAAACTTTTTAAAAAATACACTCTTTGGTTCCTTTTATTTCTTGAGGGGTTACATGAAGATGTGAACTATACAGAAAAGTGGACCTGCCTGGTCCCGCATGGGTGCCAGCCGGTCTCGCACCAAACACCCTGCCTACAATGAAGGCTCTCTCCAGCCTTCTCTCCAGCCACCTGTCCAATCCTTCCATCTGTGCAACAGGCCCCGCTAGGAGGAGGTCATGAAGCTATTCTCAATGCAGAGGACGATGAAGGTATTGTGGCAGCTCTCAGCCTTCTGCCCCAGTAGCCTGCCCGCCAGCAGCGAGGACGCCTGGCCTGTGACGGATGTGCCCTCTGTCCGCCACGTCTCACAGTAGCTCTCAGTCAGCCGGCGCCCGCTGGGGTCTGAACCATGCCACACGCTCTTCTGGGGCCTGCAAGATAACTGCTGTCAGCCCAGCTCATGCCCAGGGCAAGGACCAGGCAGGACTGGTCACTCCAGACAGAGGCCAGTGTTGGAATGGGGAGTTGGGGAGCCAGGAGCTTGCGATGTTCTTTTAGAAGAGCATCCACCTCTGACTGCTCTCCATGGTGTAGAGGGTCAGCCTGGACCAGGCCAAGTGACACCAGGCATTGGGGCCCTCCCAGGGCAAGGGTGAAGCTGCTCTCAGCATACTGGCTTGCCACCTCTTTGGTCCAGACAGACCTCACTGTGTGATCGGTTGTTGGCCTATCCTGGAGACTGGCCCACAGCCCTGTCTGCAGCTCCCGTATCAGGACCCAGAGGATGACCCTCCGAAAGTGCTATTCAGGGGGACAGACAAGTGCAGACCCAGGTACTCTAAGGGCTGTCCTTTATAGAGCATGGGTGTTGGAACAGGTTTCCTCGTGCCTTGTCAGCCGGAAGACTTGATGGCAAGCTGGTCACTTGCTAGCATTCTCTATGCACACAGGCTTGGAACTGGGAATCCCACTTCTAGGCTCATTCTCCATAAATTATTGGTGTGTGTGCACAGATGCACCTGAGGATGTGTATACCACATTGTTAGTTTGACAGTGTGACAGTGGGGTCGGATAGATTCACAATAGAACCAGAATGGGAGAAAAGCTTCCCTAGTGCCAGCAAGAAAAGCAGACAGGGCTGTCTCATTGTTTTCTTAAATGCATCACTAATGATTAGTTCTTATGCTCTCCTGGATCAGCCAAGTTGGCACATCTGGGTATGTCTCTTCAGGTTCCTTGCCTTAGGGTTTTCTAAAGAAAACAAGGAAGTGGAAGCCCCTCTTCAAGCTGCCCTACAGTCACACTGTCCAGCCATATCATAGCTGGGGGACCTACCAAGCAGGGTGCCTCAGGACGTCCCTGCCATCAAAGGAAAAGATGTGGGCCCCTGGCCTCAGCTGGCCCTCGGAGCCTGAGAACAAGGCCTCCCAGTTGGGGAACAACACTTCATCCTGTGAAGGAAAATAGGGGAGTTTACTAGTCTCTGGTCACATCTGCCTGAGGGAAAGAGATGCTGGATTAGGCTTCATGGGTAGGGGCAGCTGCAGGCCATTTGGAGGACATTTTGGTATTGGTCATGGAAGAGGGACCCTGAATGCAGGGTGCTGGGTGGGGTCTTTGGGCTTTTGCTCCCCAGGCACGGGGCCACATGGGGGGCAGGACACTGACCCCAATTCCTATCTTGAAGCAGGTTTCTAAGGAACCCAAGCGCCCAGAATTACGAGTAAACCGCGGAATAAAGCCACATGAACGGTCCTTGCAGATTTAACTCTGAATCCACCCCCCAGGCCAACAGGGGAGTGCTGAGGGTGGGGAGCTGGGCTTCGGGGGATAGGGGCTGGTGCTTAAGAAACACCCATGAATGTATCTATTCCCCAGGTCGTCCTCAGGGATGACTGGTGAGTAGACACATCCTGGACCTCACTGGTGTTTGGGAGCAGGGCCCTGGAAACACCGCCATGAAACACCATGGGTGATAGGCACTGTCCTGGATGCAGGACTACTGACCACATGGGGGACGTTCTGGAATTCTCTGAGGGTAGAGAGGCCCCAGTGAGTACTTGCAAAGCCTAACCAGACCTACCCACTAGGCCACAGTGTGCCCACCCGGAAGCCGCCAATGGTGGGTGGGCTTGCACTCGCATCCCCGCCTTTTCAGGGGAGGTCCTGCGTGTATTCCCACCCCTATGGCTCCACCTCCAATCTGAACCCTCCTCTCAGCCATGCCCCACAGGGTAGCGGGGGTCCACCTTGAGGTTAACGATGGGCACACTTCCGCGGTCGGCTCGGCGCACGATGCTATGCAGGTCCTGCAGCCGCGAGGACAGGAAGGCTCGGTACGTGCCGCTGAGCCCCACGGCCCGCGCCTGCTGGAAGCACTGGAAGTCGGCACCGCGGATGCCACGTAGGCCACCTGTGAGCGGGCCGTTGAGGGCGACCAGGTGGAGCTGGAAAAAATACAGGGAGTCACAGGTCAGAGGCAGGGAGCTGTATCCCAGTCCGGGCCCGTGTCTCCCATTCCCTCCACATCGCTGAGGGAGTAAGGAAGGCTAGAAGCCAACAAGCAGCGCCAAGAGGTCAAAGGCCTCTGAAGCTGAGTCTACGGGAGATGAGCTCAGGGAAATGAGCAATTTTGGGTGGTCTGGACTGGGGAAGCAGCCTTCCCATCTAGGCCAAGGCACCCCACCTCTATCTTCACTTTACTAAATCCCTCCACATGCCCTGTTTCCCCAGGGGTCCACTCTGCCTCTGGGATCCAGAGCAGCCCCAAGTGTCAGTTTCCCACCCCACCCACCTCCTCCTAAAGCAGAGACTCCTTGTCCCCACTGACACCTGCCACTGCTCCATGTCTCTAGGTGGGACTGACCTTGGAGGCATTTTAACTCAACCAGAATATGGATCCTGGTGGCCCTAACAGGTCAGAGTGGGCACTTTGAAGAAGCTGCATACTTGTCCCCATGCCAGAATCAACTGGGGCCTGAGTTCCTCCCCATCAGACCCAGTACACTGACGTCAGTCCTGTGTACTCACCACTGGCTGAAAGTCCTGGTGGGCGTGGCCATGGGCAGGTGTGAAGGTAGGGCGAGCTGGCTGGAGTTGCATATAGGAGCTGTGGTGTGGAACACCTGGGTAGGGTTGGGGATCTGGTAGGCGCGGAGGATTGGCCAGGACGCTGTGTGACCGCCAGGGCCGTGTGGTAGTCTGTGGGTGATCCTGCCAGGAGGAGTAAGGGCGGTCCTCGTGCACCACAGGGGGCTTCAGGGCAGCCACTTCATTGTCCTGCAAGATGAGAGGGCAGTGGGGCTGGGGCCAGGGCTGTGGTGTCATCAGGCCCCACATCATCACTGATGTCCCTCCTGAGGCCTCACCCACACCCTGCTGCCTCTTCAGAGACCCTACCCTATCCAACTCAGGTTTGCATTCTTATGGATTTGGAGGGTCAACCTTCTACATGAGTGTAGCTGCCCCTAGGCCTTGGACAGGTGCCTGATAGTGTATGCTGGGAGGCAAAGGTGGAGAACCCTGTCTTCCTCAGGCATGACCTTTGCCCACCCTAGTGCCAGCCCTTTCAAGGACACACTGATTGACCATTGCTTTTCCATCCATTCACCCACCTACCCAGCCATCCATTCATTTATCCATCCATCCATCTAGCTCCATGCCTGGTATTCTGGGTGAGAGAATATAAGCAAAGACAATGAAACATGGGTTTTAGCTCTCAAGAGCTTTTAGTCTGGGAGGAGTGATGAGTCACAAATTGTTATGTCGTTCACATGTTGCCCTCATGGAGACATCCAGCCTGACACAGAGGCTGACCATTAGCTGCACATACTTCCATGACTCTACAGCACTACCTGTGGTTCCAGTAACATGGGACCACACCAGGGCCATGATGGCACACCCGTCCTGTCTCTGTACCAGCTCACAGAGGCACTTCTAGACTAACAGTAGTGGGAAAGAAGAAACGCTCCTTACCGTCCCCCGAGGCAGCGGCGTCCGGGCCTCCAGCTAGAAGAGAACATGGGGATTACTCTACCACCTAACCAGCACCAGCCCCAGACAGTCAAGGGCTTGCCCCTTCTGTGATCCCTGCCTGCCTTTCCCACAGCATATTCCCTTCCAGCTACTCATTTATTACAGGCATTGTTTACCACCTGCCTCATCAGGACCAGGGCAACATTCCAACATTCCCAGTGGCCTCCCCAGTACATAGTGGGTGCCTGGTCAGTGTCTGCTGGTAAAAATATGTGGAAGAAGCTGTAGATTCCACGGCCAGCTGAAAATACTGGAACAAGACATGAAAGGATCCAAAGGGACATGGGAGGGCCTGGTAGGGCAATGGGGACTGTGGGGTCAAGGACAGAGGGAGCCTCTAGCAGTTCAGGGACCGCATCAATGCAAGACATCAACACAAACTTTCAGGCCTTAGATAAAGGAACTCCAGGGACATGGCAGGTTGATTTTAGAACATTGGGCTGTCCAATCTCACATTTAACATGTAAGAGAAACCTTTCCCCAAGGGGCTTCTAACCTGCTGTCCTGCTTGGACCAGAAGAGAGCGTTGGCCTTGTTCTCTTAAAGGACGACCTCTAGACTAACTAGATGCTGGCCAGGGATGCCCCAGGTGTGTTGGAGGAGCCCGAGTGTGAAGGACCAGAGGCCCAGTGCCAGCCAGCCATGGGCAAGGCACAGACCATCTGAAGAGTGCTGAGGATGTCCTATCAGTGCAGGAAGATTGGCATGTCCTTCATTCCCAGCCCCGGGTGGCCATGCTGTAGAATGTTCCTGAAATGACTATGAGGTGAATGTCGATACCAAGTCACGTGTTGGGAGATGAGAAGGCCTAATTAGAGGGCCTCCTCTTGTTTTGCTTGTGTGCATACAGAGAGGCACAGATTTACAGTCAGTTCTCTCCATTTGCAACAGCCGTATCCTATAAAGTTCCCACTAACACTGACTTCTGGTGTGGGTTAATGCACTAGACTGCAAAGTCATTTTGAACTGCAAGGTTGGCAGTTCAAGCTCACCAGCTGCTCCATGGAAACCCTATACAGGGTTGCTATGGGTCAGAACAGAGTCAACGGCACGTAACAACAACACTGAAATAGCAAATACCAAACCAGCCTTGTTCAACCCCAGCTGGGAACGTGCACATTGGGTGACTTAATGTTTTTTCAGTTCTATGCATGTTTGTTAGTGAGAATAAAATTGCAAGTAAGTGTTTACTTTAGGGTTACAAATCATTTTTTGCAAATTCACAAATACAGAATCTGCAAATAATGAGGCCTGACTGGCCCAGAGTCACTTCTGACTGAGAGTGACCCTAGAGGACAGAGTAGAACCGGCCTATAGGGTTTCCAAGGTTGTTTGCGGAAAAACTTCTGTGGAGCAGCTGGTGGATTCGAACCACTCACCTTGCCATTATGTGTATGTGTGAGTGTGCATATACATATATCTGTCTTTACCTTTAAAGACACACACTAAGATGTGAACAGGTACATGGTACCTGCAGTCCTAGTCTGATACACATAGCACATTTAGTGTGTGTGTTACTGTCAATTTGTGGAGAGATGTGCTGGTTGATGCTGTCCTGGTGATGCCCACCCAGCAGGGGAGGTTCCTGCAGTGGCAGCACTCCCTGGGTGTGGGGCTTCTCACTGTTCTTCAAGCCCTCTGCCTTGTGTCCTCTTCTGCTTCACCCCATGAGTGAAGAAGGTATGGCACTGTGAATCCCTATTATGTGCAGGGACACTCACCAGAACTTTCCTGAACCCGTTCCGGACCCGGACGTACAGCTCCTCCCTCTCAGCCACAAAGATAAGCCAACCTTCAGGGACCTCGTGCACCTTGTTCAGCATGGTCTGGTATGTTGCCCAAATCCTCACCTGCTGGAACCCCAAACCCAACATAAGTCCCCAGGATTACAGGTGGGGCCAGCCACATCTTGGCTAAGGGTCTAGTATCCAAGGAGCTAAACTTGGATGGTTCAGGGTGTGGAATGGGGCATGCCGTGTCGGGGGGTGGGGGGCACAGTGAGATTGCAGAGATGCTTCCTGCTGCAGGTCACTCTCTTTGTCAGTTATCATGTGTCACTATGGGATTTTGACAGGCATGTTTCTCATTAGCCTGTTTCCCCAAACTGTCCTGTGATCACAGGGCTAACTGGTCACCCATAGGAGGGAGGGGAGCAGGAAGTCAAGTGCTCACGTTCATGGCAGGATGCACTGCATTGAATGTTAGTGAGACCCAAGCCTGTCTTGAGTCTCCCAGCCCCTGCACAGTGAACTGGCATAGGAAGGAACCTCAGTTCTTGATCTACCTCACCCTGCCCGGTGCCCTCACAAACCCAGCTTCTTTCCCATCCCGTGACTTCCATTCATGTGACTCACAGGTAAAGCTGGCTCAGAGCTGGGGCCCCATGGGGCCCACTGAAAGAACCCCCAAGGCAGCCTACCCAGAGCCATTGAGGAACAGGAGCAGCTGGCAGTGGCTGGGAGTGGGCAGTGAGGGTTGGCTGGACTAGGTAGGTGGTGCCTAACCACCATGTGGATACTTACACCCAAGGATGCACCTGTGGTTCCAGGGGGCCCTGGGGGGCCAGGTGGGCCAGGAGGGCCAGGAACACTGATAGCTATGAAAGAGAACAGAAGTGGATTTCTTGGTCACACCCAACTGCACCAGACTGCTTTGAGTCCCAAGGCTGACCAGGGCCCACTCCCCATCAGACTTACTCTGTCTGTGAGGGCCAGGAAATGAGGGGAGTCCTGGGGGACCTGGGGGCCCAGGAGGCCCAGCAGGCCCCTGGCGCCCTTCATAGCCAATGCCAGGGGGTCCCTGAGGGCCTGGGGGGCCAGGCTGGCCCTGGACACTCTCTCCCTTTGGACCCTAGGAACAGATGACAGAACACAGGAACATGTTACCTGCAGTGCCTAGGGCTAGACCAGCAAGAGTGAGAATACCTCCTACCACCTCAGAGCCAGTGAACACTGAGGACAGGGAGCACTGAGGCTGTAGAGCCTGCCTCCTCACCCCGCCATCTACCCTTCTGGGGATACCATCCCAGGCTGTAGATTGGGGCACCCCACTGAGAGGAGAAGCCCCTAAGGTCCCAGAAAAAGCTGGGACTCTCTCTATGTTCTTTTAGGACCAGCTGTCTTTTACCCAAAGGGAGGAAGGGAGGGATGGCCAGAGAATTAGTGAAAGGCTGGGGTGTCGTTTTTGGCCTGCGTGAGCCACTGTAGGTGCCACACCTGAGAGGGCCAAGGCTATGAGTGTGCACCCCCCTTCACCTCAGCCCCCAAGGTGCAAAGACACGGGAGTGGAGGGTGAGACTAAGAGGGATGGCCACTTCGGAAGGTAGCCTCATAGGTCTGGGTATGGTGCCTCATAGGTCCGGGTAGGGTACCTATGGTGGACACCACTTGCCATAGTCCCGGGGCCCAGTCAGATCCTGAAGGTGACCTCTGTGCCTGCCCAAGCCAGAATGGCACCAAGACCCAGCTTACCGGAATCCCAGGGTAGCCTGGTGGGCCAGGGGGACCAGGGGGGCCTGGCACACTGGAGCCGAAGAATCCACCACCCCCTGGCTCTCCCCTCTCTCCTTTCTGCCCGGTGTGTCCTCGGTCTCCCTTCTCGCCCTATAGGTAGAAATACTTGTCTGAAGTAGGCAGCTGTGTGCAATATATTGTAGGAAGCCTGATTCCTACAAGGTGAGGCCTCCCCTAGTCAACCCCCAGTGTAAGGCCCTTGGAAGCTCCCAGAGCCCAGTCTGATAAAGTCCAGACAGCTCACTGTGGTGAAAGAGCTCCACTTCCCAATTTGTTGTTCCTCCACGTCCCCCACAAAACCAAAATGAAGGCCTTTCGGGTCCTGCCCACTGGGCCAACCCCAAGGGTCAGACAGAGGAGCCATAGACCCAGGGTAGCCCAAGGCGTGTTGTCGTGAAGGGGAAATTCATGACCAGATACATCCAGAACAGACCTTCATGCCATGAATGGGGGCTCCTTGAGGACACTGGGCCCCCAGTCTGGTTCTGATGGTCCAGAGCTGACACCTACCTTCATGTCAGCCTCCAACTGCAGGATGTCCAATGGGAACTGCCCTGCAGATCAGGAGGGAGGGGAAGAGAGAGAGAGGGAAAGGGATTGTGAGACCCTCCCTGCTCCAACCCCAGCAGCACTGCAGTTACCGGGAACATGGCTTATAGTTAAAAAGAGAGGCCTGATGGGCAAGCCAGTCTGGGCAGCCATGCACCTTGTGTTTTGTCCTGAGTCTTTCTGTAGAGCATGGTCTGCTGTCTCATTCATCATCATTCAGTTCCAGTTATTTCTAACTTACTGTCTTTTCCCCTTTGTTGTTGCTCTTAGGTGCTGTCCAGTTAGTTCTGACTCCCTAGTCCTAAGACATCCTCACAACCATAATAATAGGTTTGGGCTCATTGTTGCCACTGCTGTCAGTCCATCTCTTTGAGCATCTTCCTTTATTTCACTGACTCTCTCTTTACCAGGTCTGATGTGCTTTTGGACTGGTAACATGTCCAAAGTATGGAGATAAAGTCTTGCCATCTTTGCTTCTAAGGAGCATTCCGGTACTTCTTCCTTTTCACTTTTTCGGTTTTACTTCTTTTATCTTGAGGTTATATTGTTAAAATTTTTTTTTTTTTTAAGTTGCGTGGAGTCAATCCCTACTCATGGTGCCCCCATGTGTGTCCGAGAAGAACTGTGCTCTATCGGGCTTTCATGGATGGTTTTTTAGAAGTATATTGCCAGAACTTTCTTCTGAGGTGTCTCTGGGTGAAATTGAACCTCTGTTAGTGTCGCCTGGAACTCCATGTTATTAGGTGCATAGAAATTTAGAGTTGCTGTTTTCCCATTACATTTACTCTTTTATCAGTATGAAAGTCTCTTTTTATTTATGGCAATATTTCTTGCCTCTCAGCATACTTTGTCTGGTTTTACACACACACACACACACACACACACACACGGAGAGAGAGAGAGACATGCCACATATTCTCACACATTCACATCACCCCATTCTCATACTCACAGTTTGCCAACTCCCTTCTGATTAGCACGTTTTCTCCTTCCTGCCACCTTCAGCTTTTGTATCCTTACATTTAAAGTGCCTTTTGTGAGCATCATATAGTTTTGTTTTCATTCCATTGGACAGTTTGTCGTTTAATAGGAGCAGTTTCTCTATTTAATGTACTTACTTACTTACATTTGACTTTAATTTACTACTTTACTCCCTGTTTTTAAAATTTGGTCCACCATTTATTTGTGTATTTCTCTCCTTCCTTGCCTTCTTTAATATCAAATGATTTTATTATTATACCCTTGTTCTCTCTATGAGTTGGCATTCTTCTGTTGTTGACTTACTCTGGGAATTACAATTTGCATGTTGTTTGTTCTTGTTGTTAAGTGCCATCAAATCAATTCTGACTCATAGCAACCCTGTATAGGATTTCCGAGGAGCCACTGGTGAATTTGAACCGCCAACCTTTAGGTTCAAACTGACCTTGAGGTCCAGTGCATTGCCCTACAGTGTCACACCAGGACTCCACAATGTGCATGTGTATGTTGTTGTTAAGTGCCATTGAGTGGGTTCTGACTCAGAGTGACCCTGTATACGGTTTCTGAGGAGCGGCTGGTGTGTTTGAACCACCGGCTTTGCAGCATACTTGACTCTAAATCAAGTTTTATTTAAGTCAGGACTGTCACCATCTCCTGGCCAGTGTGAGGGTCTTGGGGGTCTGCAACCTCACAACCATAGGAGAGTGCAGGTGGTGTAATGTGGTCTATGCTGATTTGCATTGCCCCTTCTTTCCTGCATCCCTGCAATCCCATCAGTGTCCTTCCCTGCACCTAGAGCCCTCGCAGTCCGGAGGGCAGGAGCACTGGGGTGGCTACACTGTTGTTCCCCAGGATGTACTCACTGGCTGTTTCTTTCAACATTGTAAATTCACCTTATAGTCTTCTATCTGCTCTCACTTTTGTTGAAAAACTATCTATCCATTTTATTGTGGAACTTTGTGTGTGTGGAGTGCTTTTTGAATCTGTTGTCAGTTTGGAAATTCTTTATGTGAGTCTTTGAGTGTTACCTCTGCCCAGTGCCCCATCTCTGGCACTGTAGTCAGTCACACACATGAAGTGCCACCGTGTTCTGTGTTTCTCCTACACTCTCCTTTGCCCATTGAGTATTCTGTCCCTGACACCCTCCAGCTCACTTATTCCCTCTCTGGGTGCATCTCATCTGCCATGAGACACATCCACAAAGTTCTAGATGTGAGATCAACGCCGCTTGCTGACCAGTCAGTGGGAGGGGAGGTGCAACTCAGAACCCCTCAATACACTGGCCACTTCTGTCCTCCTCCAGGGGGTTGTGTAGCGGAAGGATGCTGCCCTGCTCCTTAGCAGGTGGGGTTTGAGGCTGTCCCATCAGAAGAGGAGCCCCCAATGTCCTGGACTCAGGATACAGGCTTTTCTAGCAGCCCTGACCCCAACCCCAGCTGTGAAGCTGACCAGCCATCCACAGCCCTGGCCACCATGACGGGGTTCTGTGAGCCAGGAAGGGCTCTTTCCCACTAGAGTGGGATAGTGAATGTTGGTGACACTGTTTCTTCAATTGGGGTGCCTGGAGTTTGCTTACCTGGGGCACCAGGTGGGCCCACTTCTCCTTTGTCGCCCTTTGGTCCAGAAGGTCCCTGGTACCCTGGGGAGACCGACATAATAGCACTTTACCTGAAAACTGCTGGTAAGAGTTTTCAGTTTGCCTTAAAACTGTGGGACAGAGCCCCCTCTAGGACTCTGGTGGGCATGGACTGGGAAGGGGATGTTAGGTGCATTGGGGACAGTCAGAGCAGACCTTGAGAAAGGTAGAGGTGTGCTGGCCACACAGGGAGCCCCTGGCACCCCACCCCCGAAGTTTGCTCAGGGACAGTAAACAGGGGGTCTGTGATGAGAAGAGAAAGGGTTAGGGCCCTTGTGCCCCTGCTTGGACAGGAAGCAGAGTTTGAATTCAGAGCAACAGGTGAGTACTCATGATAGTATCCACTCTGCCCAAATACCGGGCTGCCTGAGAGGCTGTGCTGAAGAAGCAGAACCTGGCAGGAAGAGGGACTGGGGACAGTGAAGATTGGAGTGTCCTGGCCCCAGGGGTGCTGGGGAATTCTCAGACACTTTGGATAGGGATGCCCAGGGCTAGAGAGGGACTCAGAAATAACCTTGTGCTTGGCTCTGGTTTCACCACATTTCTGAAAAAGGTTGCACCCTACTGCCACCAGCTGTCAGCTTAGCTTGGTGCAGGGTGGAAGTATCCAACCACACCCCCCACCCCCCCACAGCCTCTCAGAGTCCCATGGCCTGTGGCTCAGAGACCTGCCAGAGCTTGCTGCCCCCAGGGCATCCCTACCTGGCAATCCTGGAGGCCCAGGACGGCCAGAGTTTGCAAATGCCTGCAAAGAAAGGGACAGTGCCAACCACTGAGAGTGCATTACTCTAGAAACTGAGCTCACTCCCCACCAGGGGCTTAGTGAGCTCAGAAGAGCCCCCCCAGGCCCCTCTGCAAGGCCACAACAGTACCTCTCCCCTTTGTACATACAGGGCTATGGGGGGTATAAAAGGGGAAAAGTCACAGGGGTCTTAGTTGCTTCACCTTTCCAACCCTCAGCTTTTACATCTATGAAATGGGGCCCTGCCCACTTCCTAGCACTACAGGGTTCCCAAACCTAGGAACCCTTCACTCTTTCCCCAGCCTACTCTTTCATTGTGGGTCCTGTCCTACTCCCCGACCCCGCCACATGTCAGAGGCCAATTTGGGAGGAAAGGAAGTCAGAAGGTTCATCTAAGTTTCTTTGTAAGGAGTGGCTGGCCGTACATTTGGAGTCGTCTGGAGACTTACATTGTTGTCGTAGACAGGCATCCCAGGAGGGCCTGGGAGCCCCGGAGGCCCTGGGGGGCCGGGAGGACACTGTGGGGGAAGATAAAAGACTAGTCAGCATGCTTAGCCCTGGCCACAGCAGTGATGAGGGCGCCATGGGTAGCAGGAGCATCTCTGTACATCACAGTGAAGTCAGAGAACGGAAAGAGGCAGTAACACAAACAACCTGGGTTACTTCCTGATCTGGAACCCACCAAGGACAGGCACTGTCCCCTCACATTTCCAGAGAGTCATGCACCTAATGTCCCCTCTATCTGGATTGTAAGGAACCTGGCTGACTTGGCACAAGGCTGGTCGCAGGAGACCTCAGGGCGTGCTCAAAGTTTCAATGTGTGATGCTTTTCTTTGTGAGCATGTTGGTGAATGTTGTGTATATGTCAGAGGAACTGTTTGTCATAGATGCATTCACAGGGACACTCTGATTTGTCTCCACTGGAGTCCCCAGGTGTCCCGAGCCCCTGCTCACTGTGCTGTAGGACACTCACCCTCATGTTGAACGCAGCACCGTCATTCCCTGGCTCCCCTTTCTCCCCCTTCAGTCCATTCATCCCTGGACGACCCTGAGGCAGAGAGCACAGTGAGTGGTGGCCCATGATCCCTGGCTGACCAGCTCTGGCTTCAGCATGTCCGTGCAGCCTCCCATCCATCCCTACTCCACCGACTCTGCCCTGGCCCTTGGGATTCTCACCGGTCGTCCAGGAAAGCCGATTTCGCCCTTGTACCCGGGCCGTCCGTAAGGGCCCTACAGAGTAAAGTAAATTTGGGGTCAGCAGAGGAGCCACACTGAAGGGAGTAGGGGACATAGGAGGGTGTGTGTCCCAGAACCCCTCTTTCACCCCCACATTGCCCCAGGGCCTGCCCAGCTGTACCCCTCCCAGCATCTGTTGCTTTAAATTTACAAGGTGCTGCCTGTATACAAGTGTGGGTCAGCATGTACAGAGCAGAGCACTGTGTGTGTGTGTACACATCTGTGCACTCAAAATAGCTCAGTCCCAAGAAGGTAGGGTCCTTGCTGCAGTCCCAAGCTCAGAGGGGATCAGCCAAAACACCTGGACTCAGAGAAGGTGCCAGAGTGTGGTGGACCCCGTGCCCTTATCCCTCACTTCTCTGCATGGCTGACACCCTAAAGCCTGCATAGGTCTTGACTGGAGGAGTCTGTGTCTTTTCATGCTGCTCCGTGGCCCATCCACACCATGATGCCACAAGCCACACGGATGACCAGTGCCCCTAAGACACCCAAGGCATACCACGCTCACTCACCGGGGGTCCTCGGAAGCCCGGCTCACCCTGAACAAAAACAAGAGGGTTTGTCATTGTAGCTATGGGATGCATCATCTGCCCGCTGGGAAGGGAGGACAGTCCAGCAGGAAGCAGGTTATGAGCTGGGGTTTATGGTCAGTTGGTGCACAGATAGGGCACGGCTCAGAGTCCTGCAGCTCAGAACCCTGCCAAGCATGAGGGGTGACCTGGCTGCATGGTCAAGCAGGGCCCTCCTTGGTTCAAGTGGGCCCAGATCGCAGATATAAGCAGGGTAGCAGTAGGGTTTTCTCCTGGAAGGGGTGGGGGCAGGGTCCCACGGCCACTTTCAGACAGTTCAAGACTCTACCTTCCACACAAGCCTGCTAGTCTGCCCCCATAGCCATGAGCTTGTGCTCCAGCTCTTCCCAGTACTCCTCCAGGATCTGGGCCATGTGGTGGTCTACTGGGAGGGACTGGACCCAGGACACAGACCCCAGCTATGCTAGGGGTTCCTGAAGGTGCTCTCTGGGACCATACAAAGGAAGGGGTGCATCTGATTCCCTATTAGCATAAGCCCCACAGGCCAGACAGGCAGCCACAAATCTTCAGGGTGGGGGCAGTCCTGGAGGGTCCAGACATGAAGCTGAGTGTTGCCAGGCTCCTTCATCTCCAGCAGGTGAGGTCTACCCTAGAGTCCGAGCACCCTACTCCTAATCTTTACCGAGTGGGCTTGACTAATAGAAAAGGAGGGGCCTGCTGTCAGGCTGGCCGCGGGCCATGTCCACTCCACTCATTTCCTGCAGGTTTGCAGAGGCTGACTTGATGTGGCCCCCACGTTGTGAAAGGTGAGTAGACACCAGGGAGGGCTGTGAGGAGTGTCCTCTGTTCCCGTACATTCACATTATGGAAGGTTCACCCTTGATTGGGAGGAAAGTCAGCACTAACCACCCTCTCTGAGCAGGATACCCCTCTGAGCTGTCTCCATGGTCCCAGCCCCTGTGCCATCTGCCCTCACCTTGGCTCCTTTCTGGGAAGAGGTCAGGATGGTGCCGTCGTGACCGAAGATGGTGCCAGGCTCGCCCTTTTCACCCTGGAATAACAGTCCCTATCAAGGTCAACCACTGTTTCCAAGTGGTCCACATTCCCACCTAGATAAAGGTTCAAATTGGGGTCCCACTGGGAAGATCTCCAAAGAGAGACCCAGCAAGGGCCTTTGCAGAGAACCTAGGGCTGTATTGTTGCCCTGTGTCCAGCCATACAGCCTGGCAGATGTTATACCTGTGGAGACTGTGGAAGCTCCCACAAGCCCCCAAGGGGAATGTCCACCAAAGCACATCTCAGCTCTGCCAAAGGCTTTGACCACACTGAAGCAGCAGCATCAGTGGTCCCTGCTAGCATGGCATCCCTGGAGGGTAGACCCCACGGAGAGGAGCCCTGTGGGGGGACCCTGTACCCTCACCTTCTGTCCTGGGTAGCCAGGCTCACCTCTGGAGCCCAGGTCGCCTTTTGGACCAGCTGGTCCCTGAAAAGGAAGTCAAGCAGCAGTGGAGGAGCCAAGGGACTTGGCATGCCCTACCATTCCCAGGAGGACCACCTTCCTCCCACCACCATCCCTGCCAGCACGTGATATATCTCCACAGTGAGGCCTCTAGGCTACTTACGGGAAAGCCAGCATGTCCCAGCCTGCCCTGAAGGAAAGAGGGACACATTAGCTGTGGGATCAGCATCAACCCAGCATCACGCATCCCAGAAACACCACCCCAACCAGCTTCCCACAACGCCGAGGCAAGGGAACATTCTTTAGACTCAAGACGAGTCCTGTACCTCATTTCCCGACATGCTCGAGATCACCTTCTGTCAGCATATCAGCAAAAGAAACAAATTTAAAAAGCAGAGAGAAAAAAAAAAAAAAAAACACCTGCATTTAAAAGTAGAACTCAACTCTCGCTATTATGTTACTTTTACAAGCATCAACAAAACCATACCTAAAACTAAATTCACAAAGAAAACTTTGCTTTCATAAGTCTTTCTGGCTTTTGTCTTAAGGTCCCTCAATTACAATTGGGGCCACTTCCTGGGTGGTTCTGCACAGGGACTTGGGGTTGTATCACAGTACCCTCATTGTGGGATGCGGCAGCTTAGTGTCTCAAGTGTTCCAGAGCTACAGACTGAACCTTTAAGGTCCATTTCCTTTACAATTCCCCTGAACTCTACCACCTTGAGCTTTTCTGGTGAATCAGGCCATCTCTGGTGATGCCCATATTGGCCAGGCTAGTGTTGTGACCCAGCATGTCTGTAAGCTGCCCTGGACTAAGAGTGCTCACTTTCCCTCATATGTCTGATTTAGAAACTTGGGAAACTGAGATCAGACTCCTAACATCAACTTTCTATTTGTAATTTACTTCGATTGAGTAACTTCTACTCTTTGTGGGCTCCCAACCTTACCTTTTTCTTTCAAATAAAGTTTTGCCAGAGGAGGCACAGTTGTTGGTTCTGAGCAGAACCAATAGGATGGGAAATAAAGGTGATCTTTAGGGTCACTCTATGAGGTGAGGCCAGCACCCCAGGCTGGTAGCCCTGATTGAGGGCCACCTTCTCCTGAGGTCCTCTAGCCCTCCCACAACAGTCTGAGGGTCTGCCCTGCACCTGATGTGACTGAAGTTGTGGGGGTGGGGGCCCAGACTGAAAGGGTGACAATCCACATAGCGTCCTTACATCCTGATCCTCTGACACGTAGACAACAGGCCCTGGAGGTCCAGGGGGCCCTGGAAGCCCGGGCTGCCCGACACCGTCCTTTCCTGGGTCACCCTGAAAGAGAAACCCTAATCTTTAGATCTGCGTGTTTTTTTGGTTTTTTTTTTGGGTGGAGTAAACTACCACAGTTGTTCAGGTTGGGACCCTGAAGCCCACCCAATACTTGGGGGGGAGTCCCCAGAGCTCACAAGATATAAGGAAGCCTCCAAGGACTGAGGACAGCAGCCCTGAGAGCCGGTCCCTCACCCCAGCACTGACAGCCACCACTCCCAACTGGAGGAGGCCTCGTCCCTGTGTTGCTGAGCCCGCTGTCATGGCAGGCTGTGTGGGGCTGAGAGTAGCATTGTCATCTAAGACACTTGGCCTTCCACCCTGCCCTCACTGTGGACACTTACCTTTGCTCCTTGGCTCCCTTTATCTCCTTTTGGTCCCTACAGAGATGGGAAGGAGATAATTCACCATGAGCAGGAACAAGAGACAAGATGGGTGGGGTGGTGATTGCGGGAAGCTATGTGAACCCAAGGCTCCCACTCTGTGGAGCCGCTCACAGAATCAGGTGGGAGGACACAGATGCCTAAGTCCTTGGGAGGGCCCTGCAGGTGTTTAAACCCTCCTAGGGCTTCCAGAAGATGGAAGTCCATGTGCCCCTTCAAGGAATTTGCTAGGAGTAGTCCTGCTCACCTGTTCACCCTCTTTGCCAGGAAGGCCAGGGAAGCCGGGAGCACCATCCTCTCCAACTTCTCCCTGGAACCAATGTGGGAAGAAGAACATGTTAGGTTGCAGTCATGTGGGTTTCAAAAGGAGTCACAGTGCCCATGGGAGGTGGCCTTGTCTTTGGTTCATGTGTTCACACCATGAAGGTAGGATGAGTGAGGAAGGATGGGCAGGAAGGCCTGGTGGGCTCAGGATGATGCAGCAGAGGCAAGGAAGGGAGGAGCGAGGCTCCAGACCAGCAGGGATACCTAGATGAGGCCCTGAGTGGTGGGGACCCGAAAGGAGGTCACCTTTAGAAGAGATACATCAGGAAGATCCAGGAGAGGTGAGTGGGAACAATGGCTGGTCCTGGTCCCTGATTGGACTGTGTCCATGCACACCTTCCCTCCTGTGGCCTTGCCAGGTCCTTGGGATGTGCCCACATTACTTTATTTACTGAGGCTTGGGAGATGGGATTGATGTGATCCATAACTCCCTCGCTTGGCCCTGGATCGGGGGTGGGGGAGGTTGTTGATTTCCTGAACCCAAGTAAAGAGCCTCACCTTGGTCCCAGGGGGCCCAGCCATTCCGGGATCACCCTGAAATGAATGAAGGGGATTTGTGAGTGCAGTGCACGGACCGGCCCACTCGTGAGGCAAAATGCCCTCCCTGCACCCTACTTTCCCACAGGGAGAAAGGAAGGGGTTAATCACCCAGATTGCTTCTTACACAGCGCCACTTCTACCCCTTCAGGAACCATGAGGCTAGGCCCCCTTCCAAATGTCAAAGCTGAGGCAACAAGTGTCCCTGGGACATAGAGCAGGTTGTGCAAAGGCCCTGAGGTCCCCTATTTGCCAAAGTCAGTAAGTCATATGCTCATGAGCACATGGTCTGGAAACAGTGCTCCATATTCCCACTATTAGAAGCTCATTCCCAGATTATATCACTTTTGGCCCACCTGCCCTCATCTACTATGGCTGTGGTCCTGTCCTTCTGGGCATGTACCCAAAAGGAGGCGTGTGGGGGCAGCAGTGCCACGCAAGTAGGGGGTCTTGTCCTTCAGGGCACGGAGGCATGGAGCACAGTCTGAAAGAGAAGCTCTCAGGCCCTCTGGTGAACCAGCCCCACTGCCCCAACAAGCAGGACCTCACTATGGGGAGAGGCAGTCGCTCCAGGTTCCTCCCAAAGCTCCGTTTATCTGCTCAAGTCAGCAAATGCACTGCAGATGTGGGAAACCAAGAGCCCCACTCATGGTGCGTTATCAGGTGGTGAAGGCCACCTTGCTTTTAACTGTGCAATGTTCAAGGACTGCACAATTTTATTTCCCCTTTAGGCTTCTCTGTCTTTGGCAAAGTTCTACCTTCAGGTTCAGAAACCATGGTGGGCTGTTAGAGGCCCTGAGTGGGGCACGTAGCCTTCACTGACCTTGAATCCTGGCAGACCGGTTGGTACCTGTGAACAGAGAAGGAAGCATGGTATTAGTGCAGCTGCTAGTCTCGCTGAAAAGCCTGAAGGAAGGTCTTAAACCCCCAGAACAGAGCCTTTTAGAATGCCCACCACAGCTCTAACTGAGAAAGAGACAACTCAAGCCTTATTAAACGGAGCCAAGGCACCCCATGGAACCCCCGGAGCAGAGCCATCTTCAGTTCCATGTAGAGCATGTGGATGTCACCCAGCTAGTTGGTACAGCAGTCCCTCAGTGGGACTGGCGCAGCAGCATGTGTGCCCCGAACCCAAATGGGTGGTCCTGAGAATCTCTGTAGGTGCATTTTGTTTAACTAAAAAATAAGTAAGCAGATGTGGCCATCCTAGAGCCGTGAGGTGAGTTTGGGTTTAGGTTCACTGTGGCTCTCAGAGCTGATCTAGAAATGATGTGTCAATGACTTTTACATCATCCATGTGGTCATGAGACAGCCTCACTGTCCCCTCCAAAGGCCCAGGGAGCTAGTCCCGTGATTCTATAACCTAAATCAGAGGACTGTACCCCACGACCTCCACCGTCCACCTCTGACCACAGAGTCATCCCCACTCCCACATTCAAGCAACAACTGTTCTTTCATCTTTGGTTCACATCAGCTCATCTGATGTGGAAAGCAACTAGCTACTATTGGCAAAAATGAAGATTATATATATATAAAGTAAAATACAAAAGTTTAATATAAAACCATCTAAGGAGCTCTGGTAGCGTAGTGGTTACGAGTCGGGCTGCTAACCTCAAGGTCAGCAGTTCAAAACTGCCAGTGGTTCCTAGGGAGAAAGATAAAGCTTTCTGCTCCTGTAAAGATTTACAGCCTCAGAAACCCTATACACGGTTGCTATGGGTCGGAACTGACTCGATGGCACTTAACAACAACAACATGCTATGGAATCTATTTCTACTCATTTATGAATTCTCATCCATTTTGCTGACTACAGGGTCTGTCCCAGCCATGTACACTCCTCAGGCTGAGTCCCTGGAGGATGAGCAGGGCTCTGAAGTCTGACGACCCAGCATCCAAGGCAGGACTGCCATGACACCCTGCCGGGAGTATCGTGTGCCTGCAGGTAGTAGCCTGTAACCAGGAATCCTGAGGGGAGGGAGGCAACCCCCCTGCTTCCCTGCTCTGTGTCAGCCTTGGGGTGCCACTTGTTGGCAGAATATGGTGTGGGGTGGGAATAGGGGAGCTCCCAGCATACTTTGGGTCCCTGCTGTGCCCAGACCTGACCATGTAGACATGCTTCCAATCTTGGTTCATCATCAAATAAATAATGCTATTTCACAAATGCAAGCTACACAAGAAAACTGACAATTCAACTTCTTCCTAAAGCAACTCTCTCTGGGTTCTGATCTACCTGTATGAATCTATCCTGACGACCTGCAGCCTCCATCCACGTCTAGGTTCTCAGCTGACTTTTGACCCACACTGGAGGATTCCAGGGAGGTGCAGGGGTCGAGGACTGATAGCGACTTTGTAACCAGTCACCCATGGGCTCTGTGGACTTGCCACTGTCCCCACATTGCTGGATCAGGGGAGACTTCCTGCCAGGATCCTGCCCTTTAGATGTCAATGTACCTGCCCACATCAGTACCTGTGGTCCAGAGCTTCCAGTTGTTGACCAGAAAGGCCCTCCAGAACCTTCCATGTCATCCTGGAGGGAAACATTGGAGAGACACTCAGTCCTGAAGCTCTACGTAAAGGATGAGCCTAGAGGGGAGACCACCTTGGGGTAGGCAAGGATAGTGCCTTGGGGTGCTACTACAGTCATGTCTGCCCAGAGGGACCTGCCCAGGGGCCCCCTCAGCCTCTCCAGGGTGAAGGCTTTTTGCTCTTCATTTGAACGGTCCCTTCAGCATCCAGAGACCATGTGGACATGGTCAAATGGGCAGGGTGGGCTGGGGACAAGCTGAGGGTCTCCTACCACATCTGCTGCAGCAGTAGGCAAGGTGGGAGCTGCCCCTACCCCCACCCCGCTGCCCATCTCTGTCTACTGTTCATGCATGACATGATCAGCTTTCACAGGATGGCCAATGTGGCAAGGCTGTTGTTCTTACACTAAACCTGGGGAGGGTAGGAGGCCCTGCTGGGAAGGCGTAAAGTGTTCTTAGCTTGTGAGGTCCCCAAGGTTGGAGGGGACCTTGGGGGCAAGAGCAGAGACAGGTGACTAGAGGCAAGAATGACTGGTACTCACAAATCCTGCTGCGAGTCCTGGCCCAGGTGGCCCAGGAGGTCCAGGGGGTCCTGGGGGCCCTTGAGGTCCAGCTGGTCCAGGGGCTCCTACCAGGCCATTCTTCCCAGGAGCACCAACGGGGCCAGGGTCTCCCTGGCCTCCCTGCAGAGTGGGGAGAGGGACTGCCCTCAGGGTCTTACCAGAACCCCATGCCATTCACAGCACCCCAATGACCTACAATCTCTTATCACAATTAAAACACATCTGAAAATGCAAAGAGATGCATGTCTAACATTTCCATGAAGCAAGGCATACCCAGAACAAATCCTTTTCTGCTTGTTTATGGGACAGTAGCATTTGCTTAGAAACACAGACATGCACCTCAGCTCTTAGTCAGATGCAATCCATGCATGGAGCAAAACATGCTGTTTGTGCTGCATTACCTCTGGCCCAGGCCCCCGATAATTGGGGAGTAGCAAGAAGGAGCTGCAGCAGGTAAGGAAGGGGTGCACTGCAGGAAGGAGTGAGGAGGAGAGAAGAGACTGGGGTGAGCTGGGTCTCAGGATCTCATGGCCACTGGCATCGTCCAGTGGTCACAAGGCATCCTCAGATCTCCTCAGTCCAGAGGGCCTTGGGGAGGAGCCAGGAGGGGTGTCAGGCACACGTGATGCAGGCTAAGTCTCAGAGCATATTACTGCCCACTGCCCTAGCCTGACTGTGAGTTTGAATGACAGATGGTCCAGCAGGAACAGGGTGAAGGAAGTGGGTGAAGCTCAGATGATGCGGGGGGGGGGGGGGAGGCGCGGCGGCACAAGGAGGGCTTATGCAAAGGACTCAAGTACAGGGTCAGCCACACAGAAGCCCAGCTCTGCCCCTTCGAGGACATTGAACTGAACCAAGCTTCAGTCTCCCGATCTGTAAAATGGGGATGATTCCAGTGTTCTCATGGTCTCACAGGAGACCTAAGTGGGATGGTGTGAGGGGCATATAGCCAGGGCCCAAAGGGGTCCCTGCCTGTCACAAATGAGGTCCATGGGAGAAAGGTCACATGATTCCATGGGGACACAGGTACCACCTTCCCACAGCTCCCACTTGGACACGGGGTCTGTTCCACATTCTATTCCAGCCCCCAGTGGGGAAAGGCCCCTCACCTTGAGTGCACACTCACCTGTTCACCTTTGGAGATGCCCTTCCTGTTTCTACTTATCTTTTAAACTCAAACATTGCTGGAGATTCCATTCTATCGCTTCTTAGCCCTGCTGGTCACTGTCTGCTTTGTAACAAATTGCTAATAGCTGAAACACGTTGCTACCTGGTATACCTGTTCCCTGATTTTTTTTTTGGAATTTAGATTTTACTTTCTCGGTTTTAATCCATTTTAGCGCTTCTTAACATATTTTAAAATCTCATCTAATTTTTTATCTTTTAAGATTCACATTAAAAAATTTGTTTTTGCAATCTTTCTAATCTCATTGTTTAGTTCTTTTTCTCCCCAGTTTTAGCCATTTCTCTCATCCAAAATATTTTCCCTCATTACTCCCTGAAACTTGTATTTCTATATGTGTGTGTGTACATTGGCAAAGTGGCAGCATCAATGGGCTCAAGCGTGGCAACAGTTGTGAGGTTGGCCCAGGATCGGGCAGTTTTGTTCTGTTGTACATAGGGACGCTATGAGTTGGTACCGACTCGATGGCACCTAACAACAAAATGTACGTATAATGAAAGTTCCTAAGTGTCACAGTTTGTGCTTGACTGCCAACCCAAATAACAATGGTTCAAACTCACCCAGAGACTCTGGGGATGAAAGGCCTGGTGATTTGCTTGCATTAGATTACAGCCAAGAAAACCTTATTGGGTAGTTCTAGTCTCTAACACACGGATCGCCATGAATGGGCATAGCCTCAAGGACAATTAACAATATATACATATGCATTTACTTTAAGCCTTAACCCATTTTGAGCTTGTTTTAACACCTAAGCCCCTTTTTTGATTCCTATCCCTATCCTTCCCTCACCAACACCTCTCCTCGCTGAGGTTTGTCATATCCCCCAGTCTGGAGTCCTGGTCATTGTCAGACAGCTTCCCTGGCAAAGAGCTCCTTTGACCTGATGTTCCCTGTGAATGTCCACCTGCTACCCTGGGAGCCAGTGGAATCCATGGTCTTGACCTGAGAAAGGCTGGAGCCTAGAAAGGTCTCCCAGGTCCTTCAGTGGTGGGGGGCACAGGGCCCTTACTCAGCCTTGGACAAGCTGTCCCCAGGGAAGGCCAGGTCCTTTAGAATGGGGCCTCGGTTTAGGGCTCCCAGGAGCAGACTGGAGCCAAAAGGAAGAAAAGCAGGCAGTATCTGCTTTAGAGGGGTCTAAGTCAGCACTGGCTGCTAGCTGGTCTCTGCAAAACCTCCAGTGTGGTCCTGGCTTCCACTGGAACCCTGGCATGTCAGGCTGGTAGTTTCAGGAGCAAATCTGAGGTTAAACCCACTTGTGAAAAGTGAGGGAACCCTGCTGGGAACCTCAAGGCAGCATCTACCTTGAAGCAGGCTCAGTCTCCCCTTCCAACAGTTCCTGACAGCTTCTTCTCTCACATGTCTGCCCTGGAAGCACGTTTACAAATGGTTTTCTTGTACCAGAATTCCTCTGGCCTCATTTGATTAGCAGACTCTAGCCCAGTTCTGTTGTGCATACGGTCGCTATGAATTAGAACAGATTGGCTGGACACTCGACAGCACCTAACAACAACAAAACAGCTCAGAGGAGCCACCATTTATCTGTTTGTCGTACTGTGGTAATTGCATGTTGCTATGATGCTGAAAGCTGTGACACTAGTATTTCAAATACCAGCAGGGTTAGCCATGGTGAATAAGTTTCAGCAGAGTTTCTGGACTAAGACAGACTAAGAAGAGAGACCAGGCCATCTACCTCAGCATTGTAGTTTTGCTATCTTGTACATAAGGTCACCATGAATGGATTTAACAGAAACGAAGAACAACAACGGAGTTCTGGTGTAGCGCTGTGGGCTAATGTGTCAGACTGCAAAGTCGTTTGAACTGCAAGGTCGGTGGTTCAAGTTCACTAGCCACTCCTTGGAAACCCTATAGAGGGTCGCTATGGGTTGGAATCAACTCGACGGCACTTAACAACAACAACAACAACAGCAATAGCACAGAGTAGAAACAGCAGGGCAAGTTAAGTATAGGATAACCACAATGCTCACAGCTACTGAGCCCTACCACAGGCTGGCCCTCAGGCACATAATAAAATTTGGTTGAAACATGCTATATGTTGCTCATGATACTGAAATGTCAGTATTATTAAAAATCTGAGTTTGTCTAACTAGTACTCTTGCTCACCAGTGTGCCCTTACCCCTACCCCCAGCAGATCAGGGCATCAGGTGCTTTGTATACCTTAGGTCCTGGGGCACCCACTTCACCCTGTGGAACAATACAGAGAAATTAGATAGATTAGCCATAATCAGATTAGCCATGTACTGAGCAAGGACAAACACATCTCGATTTTGCTGTGACCCAGAAGTACTGATTTGCGGGTTATTCTGATCCACAGGAGCGTTGCTGGTGCTGTGGATTGCCTGGAACACAGTCAAGCCGACAGCAGCTGACTGGGATTTGTGTGAACCCCAGCTGGCTGTGGTTCTGAGCAAGTTTCAGGCGTCCAAAATACCTGGGTGATGACAATCACAAGATTGGCTGATTTTGGAGGAAAGCCACCTTTAGCCTTCGCCTCCAGTGTTGGCACTTTTGGTGTTCCTCTTTTCAAGAGATTGCAAGCCCCCAAACATTCAGAGTCCAGCTTCCTGCTGGCTACAGCCATTTGGCATTGGGTCTAGTGTACACTGAACATATGAGGGGTGACTTACGGAGCTTCCTTTCTGGCCATTTTCTCCTTGCTGTCCCTCTTTTCCTGGAGGGCCTGGGTGTCCCTGAGGGAGAGAAAAGCAAAGTTGCTAGAAAACAGGTTATGGCTTAGTAAATAACTATCTGTTGGTTCTGCGACGTCCTCAGTGAAGCACGGACACACAGGATGTGAGGTCAGAGTCAGAGGGTTCCCAGGCAACCCCGCCCAAAGTCAAGGGCAGTTTCATTTAAGAGCAGCTTCATTCAAGAGCAGCTCAGACGACCTGGTGTTTACTTGTCTTTATCTTTAGTTGGTTTTTGAGTTGCTGATCAAAGTGGGGGAGATGGGATAGATGTGACTTCTGAGTGTAGATGCCACATTCCCTCTAGAAGGTAGCCAGGCAACATGTAAAACACAAAAACCAGGTTTACTCTCTAACCTAAAACTCGACTCATATGGGCGTATCCATCAGACCCCAACTGGGTCTGTAAAGTAGTTCTGTCTGTACAGAGCCTGACAGCAGGGTACTGTCCAGAGGACTGGGGACAGAGCTCTGGGCAAATGTGTGCATTCAGGAATTGTAGGTCCGAGGCATCTCACTGAGTGAGAACGTGAAGCTGGTGGCTTATACCTGATTACAGTAAGCAATGTGGTGGCATTCGATGGATCCCCTGTATGTCTTTAGGAGGGTATATGTCTCTGAGGCTTCTTGGGATGGGAAGTCAGTCAAATGCAGCTTCTTACCAACACCCATCCTTTTAGATGGGGCCCTGGCAAGAACCTGGGTTCGTCATCTTTTATAATCCCCTCCTATAACCAGGAGGAGACCCTGTGAGGTCCACTGACCCAGCTGCAGTCTCCCTACCCCAAGAGCACAAGGTTGGAGCTGCCTCCCTTAGAGGATGTGTGTGTGAGGGGGTTACAGGGGAGTCCAGATATGGAGAATGGAGGATCATATTGGACCAAAGGGAGGGAAGCAGCACTTACCTGAGGGCCAGGACGTCCAGGAGGGCCCTCTCGCCCAGGTACACCAGGGAGGCCTGCAGGTCCGGGGACATCTGAGCTATTCACCCCAAAGCGGCCTGGCTCACCAGGCAGGCCTGGGACACCAGGAGGTCCAGGGGGGCCGGGGAAGCCTCTTGGGCCCTAAACACGGACAGAGTGGTCACCACACACAGAGTAAATAAAGCAATGCCCCCAACTCCCACAGACCTTGTCATTGCTCCTGAAGGGTCCCGACTGAAATTTTATTGGGGCAGACAACTTTCTGTATACACACTTTCCCGGTCAATGGTCACTCACCCTGAGGGTCTCCAGGTCACCACCAAAGCCAGACCCTTCCATGTCGATGAAGGTCTAAGGGAAAAGTGCCCCAAGAGACGTGTTAGCGGGAGTGCAGGACCCAGAGCCACTCCCATTCCAGCCTCTGAACACCCACCACCCTTCCAGCATTCAGAGATGTCACACCCAAAGCAACAAGAAAGTGAGCAGTGGCCCCCATTACTGGAAAGAGGATGCCTAAAGGGATACAGCAGTAGCGGGGATCCACCAAAGCTGAGGCCCCAGGGCTGGCCGTGAATCCAATGGGCCTCTGAAGGTTTGAACTCCATCTCAGGTAGGCCATTTCTCGAGGCCAAGAGCACTACTGCGAAACCTCACTCCTGGGCACAAAGAACGTGGCACAAAGAAGCCGGGCCATGTTCCCCACTCTGGACACGGTGGTAGGAGGTGAGTCCTGGGTCAGGTGCTCAGATGTGGGACTCACCAACTTGTCGTGTCTGAAGGCTGGTCCTGGAGGCCCTGGAGGCCCCTGGGGCCCAGGGGGTCCACGTGGGCCGATTCCAGCATCCCCCTGGGAACACAGAGTGAACTCATTGCATCAAGAGCACACAGTCCCCATGGGGTCAGAGGGCAGAGAGGGAAAAGGGGCCCTCACCCCGGGCCAGGCCAACACTAACCTTTTCGCCCTTGAGGCCTATCTCTCCTGGGGTTCCCGGGAAGCCCTGAGGCCCAGGGTCACCCTGGAAGACACAGACAGTCAGGAGGAATCTTCATTCTGTTGGCACTGAAGTGGGATGACTCAGTGGCCCCTGTGCCTTCAATACCCCTTCTGCCCTATGACTCAAACACCTGCTATGTGTATGGGGCCGGGCCACAATGGAGGCACTGGGAATCCAAGCAGATCCCCAGATGGACACGCTGACCACAGGGATCCCTGACTTCAAAACAGTGCCTGGGGGAGGGCTCCATGCCACAGATATTGAATGTGGCATCTCCATCGACATCCTTGCTAACCACTGATCCCTGTTATGGATGTGTGTACATGCACATGAGTTACAGGTATGCACATGTGTGTCGGTGCATGCATGTGTGTATATGTGCACGTATGTGTGTGTGCGCCTATCTGTAGCTGTGTATGTATGTTGGGGGCATGTGGACCGAGAATGTGCCTGCATGTTTGTGACTTTGGGTAAATGGGTGAGAGGTCCTTTTGATCTAAATTGTCAATGTATTTGAATTTCCTTGTGTGCTTAGAAAAGATTATGTATGGCTTGTTTCTTGATCATGAAATTCTAATGAAATGTATTAAAACAAGCTTGCCAATTGAGTCACTTGGATACTGTACCACACACACACACACACACATCCCTGCTCTGTGGATTTATGATCAAGGGCTATGATGTCTCCCATGAGGACTGTGGATTAATGCCTTTCTTCCTGCATTTCATCACAAGCTTGGTTGTCAGTGCAAAAACATTCAATAGTGAAAAAAGCTCCACTGTCAACATGAAATGTACCTTTTTGTTGTTTTTAAATATTTTTATTTCGAATCTAGCTTGTCTAGGATTAATATTATGACACTCAATTTCCAGTTCGTTTTATATTCCAATTTGCCTGGTATATTGTTTCCCAAACCTTAATTTGCAGTATTGTTTCCTTTTACTGTGTTTCTTGGAAATAGTATTTGTTGATCTCTAAAAACCTCAAAACCCCAACTGAGAGCTTAAAGGTAGCAACTCTTATGTATATTGTAACTGCTGATGAATTTGCATGTACTACAACCACCTATTTTTCTTTTGTCTGTTTTGCACCCTCTTCCTCACAAACACTTTCAGGTCATTTCTTTACTGTTTGTTTTTTTAACACTAAATATTTGGAAACTCTACCTTTGGTTTCTTTTCCCCTCCCCTGCCCGTCTTCCAGACATTAACTTAAACATCTCAATGCACATGCTTACCTTACTTTTTTTTTTTTTTTTTTGTCAATAGACTTATACTTTCTTAGCAAAACTTAAATTGTATTTTCAAAATGATTTCAGGAAAAAAAAGCCTAAGAGTCTCTGGCTCTAAAAGCCAACCTACCTGTTTTCCATCTTCACCAGGATCTCCCTGGAAGGGGCAAGAGAAACCATGAGTGACAGAAAAACAACCCCCTGTCCCCATGTAGAGTTGTTGTTGTTAAGTGCCGTTAAGTCATTTCTAACTCATGACACTGTATAGGTTTCCAAGGAGCAGCTGGTGGATTTGAACTGCCAACATTTTGGTTAGCAGTTCACTGCTTATCCTACAAGGCCACATCAAGACTCCACCTGAAGTAGGGCATGGAAACACATTTCTACGTTAAAGTTCACCTGAAAACCCCAACTCTCCAAGGGAAGAGAATTATCTACATGGAGTGAAGAAGGCTTTTCATTCGAATTTTACCTACTCTATACCTAAAAATCTCAGTACAAAATTAATGCCCAAACACCACAGATCCCAAACCAACCGTCTCTGAGGCATGAATGTGAGCCACTCCTGGCCTTTTGCACACAGGAAGGTCTCCGCATTCCTGGAGAGATGCCAGTCTTGTGATCTCCAAGGGTCCCAGAATATTGTTTTCTACCCTTGTCTTGATGAATTCCCCCCATAACAGCACCCTCTTCTGTTCCTGCTTGAGCTCACCAGCCCTGGACAGGGCCTGGTTTGACCGAGAGGAAATGAATACTCACCGGCTCGCCATCCTTTCCTGGGGTGCCATCTTTCCCTGGTGGCCCAGGGGGTCCCTGTGGTCCAGGGAAAGGCTGTGCAGCGGGGCCATCAGGACTCTGGACAGCAGGGCCTGCAGGACCCTGGGGACCTGCGGGGCCAGGCAGGCCCTGGGCACCAGGCTCCCCCTTCTGCCCCTTCAGGCCTGTAGAACTGGGCTTCAGGCCTCCCTAGAAATGAGAGGATAGGCCAGGTGCATGTCTCCTGCATGTCTGTGCTGCTGTCCTGCGGGCTGATTGTTCAGTGATCTACCTAGACATTCCCCACTGCTGGCTGAGAGCCTCCTTCTGTGAGATGGGCATGTAGGGGTGGGGCAAAAAGGTAGGAGGAACAACAGCAGGGGGAGCACTCTCTGGGGGTCATTGGCAAATGGAACAGGGGAGCACTGCTCTCTTGGGTCCCCATGTGGGTCAGGGTCACGCGGAGGGGCCTCACCTCTTTCATGCCTTCCAGTGTGGCAGCCACATTGGAGTCTGCAGGGGAGGTGCTGCCTGATCTCTCGTGCTCCACAACAGGGAGAGTCTGAGCTGGAGGAGAGGCAGAGTGGCCTTGTCAGAACTGGAGCCATAGTGGAACCTCTGCTCACCCTCTCTGGCCTTTCTGTAGGAGGACCCCCACCTCTCGACCTCCCAACACCCCCAAGGCTGATCTGGAGCCCAGCTAGCCCGGGTAAGACCCAAGGCCATAAGCACCATAAGCATGTACACTCCAGCTGGTATGTCCAAGGGCTGGGAGGGGTGTGT